AGGCACCTTCAGGCCAGAACACCTAAATTGGTAAACCATTCAATCACAGAGATTGTTTCCTCATCGTGCCATCAAAATGTAATTATTTAAATGCCTGTTCCCTCCCAACTCTGCTTATCTGCTTCCTTGAAGATAACTTGCTTATCAGATGAAATTGTGTTTGCTGTTGTGTCTGTAATGAAGTACTGATTTAATGCGTAATCCATTTCAGATCACAAATTTACGATTTCAATAAGGTTAACTGTAGAAATGATGCTTTTCTCTCCAAGCGCTCTAATACATGGTTTAGAAAACTTTTCTGATAATGAACTACAGTAAGAAGTACATTTTTTTTATCATAACCAGGAACATACAGAAAAACACAAATATAACTGAAAAGGATTTCACAAAATAATGCCTTTTCTACTTGCAAAATACTCACCGATTCTATCCTGTTCTTTTTTATTCCATACTGCTAATCATGAACTCATCAAGTTGATTTTGCTATCCATTAGTGGAACACAACCGGTTTTGAAAAACAAAAACAAACCCTAAAGGATTCTGTTTTAGTGGAACTTAGCTGATTGTTGTGGAAAAGTTTTTGACTGATGTATGTGTGGATCTGTGTGTGTGTCTTGTGTGCATCTGTGTAGGGTGGTCAGGAGAATATATTGGATGGACTTGACTATAGGTAGAAAGAAGTTCACCTTCACAAGGGGAGGACTATCCAGTTTGCATACATATTTCACAGGCTACTAGGTGATTCAAATTTCTGAGGAATTCAGCAAGATGTCATGGGCCTAGACATATATAAAAGTGGAACATCCAGGAGAAGGCAGCCTCCAGAGATGCAGAGTGGCGGTGGCATTAGAAGAGTTTCTAAGAAAAGTATGCGGGTAATTGTGAGGCAGGTACTAGGAGTAAACTATGGATTTAGACATTACGGGAAAACTAGTTATAAGAACTGCAGCATAAGTTCACAAAAGGCTGCAGGCAAGGTTCACTTCATGTATAGCATGTGTCTGTTGATTTGTTATTCCTTAAGTCTATTCTGACTGCAGATATGATTTGTCCAAGTCCCTGTCAATTGCAACCAAATGATCAAAGCTGTAAGCAAAGCCAGCATGATCAAGCAGTGCCTGGTAGACCCTGGGAAGCAGACAGGTCTTGGATCCCTTTAGATTTATATTTTCCATTTTCCTCTGCCTGTGAATAGAACGGGCCCTAAGTACCTGGCTAGAATTTGTACCTCCTTGAATGTATTTTAGCATATTTTTCTCCAACTTATTTCATAAGTTCTCTCTTTAAATTGCCCTGATAGATCATTAGCTTAGAGTTGTTCCTCGTTCTTCACAGGTGTATACAACCATTATCAATTCAGTAAAATTCTAGCATTTAAAATTTTTAACAGGAGGGATAATGTTGAGTTTTTTTTTCACAGCTTGTTTATAGCCTAAATATAATTCCCTTTCAGTTTCTCATTGAAAGACTCTTCATGTTTCTAATGCCCAAGAAAAATATAAACCCACGAGGGTGTTTACTAACCTTGTAAAATTGCAGGATTACACTCATGAAGAGAAAAATAAGCTTTTCTTCATGCTCATCCTCTTTAACAAATGAATCCTAAGTTCATGTATAAACTTGCAGTTAATAAGACACATACCAAAAAGCACTCCAAAAACCCCAGGATTTTAGGAAGAAAAAAACACAAGTAGTGTGTCATTTTCACTTCCACTATTTGCTGGTACAGTAGTGGCACAGTACTTATATACACAATGCATAACTCTCAAAAAGTATAAAAGCAAATAACTGATAAAATATATAGAAAAATGACCTTTTCAAAATCCCATTTCAAACATTCAAAGTCAGTGGCTTAAGTGAATAGTGAATCTATGATACCTTTTCCAAATAGAGTAGAACTGTAGAAGTTCTTTCTACCTTGAGTAGCAAGAAATTAATTATTAGGATTGCTTTGACTCACAATGATGCTGTGAACTTCCAATTATTCCAGATAATGTAAGCAAGGATTGTACATAATTGAAATTTGATGATAACACAAAAGGCTTATTCTAACCATTAATTTCAATCTTTTTCCCTAGCAAACCTTTACATGAGCTAATGAGAATAGCTGAGTTGCTTGTGTGTCATTTTACCCGCCTTTTTTTAAATGTCTCCGTCTTTGGTAAAGCTGTTTACAAGAAGTAAAGCAATGATCATCAAAATGTGATTTGAAGAGGTTTGGAAAGTTTGAGCCTGAGGGCAACCAGGTGTCAGCTAGAGCAGGCAGGGAAGGATGATTTATAAATCGGATTTAAAGACAGTTCCTGTATTAGTCTGTTTTCACGCTGCTGGTAAAGACATATCCCAGACTGGGCAATTTACAAAATAAAGAGGTTTATTGGACTTACAGCTCCACATGGCTGGGGAGGCCTCACAATCATGGTGGAAGGTAAAAGACACGTCTCACATGGCAGCAGATGAGAAGAGAGCTTGTGCAGGAAGACTCCCGTTTTTAAAACCATCAAATCTCCTGGGACTTACTCACTATCATGAGAAAAGCATGGGAAGAACCTTCTCCCATGATTCAATTACCTCCTACCGGGTTCCTCCCACAACACGTGGGAAGTGAAGATGAGATTTGGGTGAGGGCACAGCCAAACCATATCAGTTCTCAAAAGAGGATCTCCAAAATGTTTCTGCAAGGACAGCACCATTGTAACCATAATATAGCTTCTCAATGATTTCTCGGTAAATATGCACACTTTCTATTCTTTATAGTCACACATTGTCACCTTATATGTATAATAGGAGTTAGTGTTTGCTTGTTTACCAGGTTGTCAACATTGTTAACAAACAACTTGGTTTATTTGTTAACCAAGAAAAATCCTTGGTTTATTTAAATAGATATTTGCTCATTTGATTTCCTCCATAAATTGTTACCTTTTATTCTCAAAATAGAGACCGATGTAGAAATGATTAAAGATGTTTTTTGGACACAAAATAGTAAGCATATTTTAACAGTTTCATATTAGTTAATAAAAATGATTTGTATGTTCATTAATCAAAATGTGCTGATTGACTTTATGTTAAAATCATTAAGGATTTAAAATATGAAAAGGGGATAGTTGGCATGTAAGTTGAGAGTCTGATCAAATCCAGGATACTATAAAAACTATTTGAAATACCTGATACTCCATACCAGATGCCAAGTTTTCCCTTTGCTAATGACAAGCATTTATATCCCACAGGAACACTAAACCATCTTGTAAGTATCTCTTGAATGGCTACCTAAGAAATGTGAAGGCCAGAGCAGCTCATAAGAACAAACTGATGTTATCTTTGAGAATACCATGCCGGGCATTTAAGGGTACCTAAAGAAATGGAATATATATTACAAAACCCTAAGCCAGTTATTCCCAGCACAGAAGCTGACTTCTGTAAACTTGGTTTAATAATGGGGCAGGCTGTATCAATCAGTAGGGTGGTAGCAAGTCAATAATTATTTCAAGACAATGAATTTCAATGTTCAATACAGTAAACAGTTAATATAGAAAAAAAAAAAAAAAACAGGAGGAAGGAGCATCATTTAGCACACTGATGATTTGCTGGATTGTCCTGGAATGTTCTGCATTGTCTTAAAATAACTCTGGATTTTCCACTTCAACTAGCTAGCTCTTTTGTGGTTAAGCTTCTGTACTTGCTATCAAACTGACTCTCAACATAGGTTTCACACATTAGTGCCAACCAGCTTCAAGCTCCCAGGTTGCCAGTGGTCTCACTTTTCATGCACAAAGGTGACAAATGAAAATCTGTTATACCGTGGTGTTAATGATGAAAGTTTTCTACCATTTGAGTTATTTTCAGGACACCTGGACTGCTTAATGTGAAAAATTAAATCTTTAATGGTTGAATTCTAGGCATGGTGACTTTTGTTGGAGGGTTATGCTTTTTACTTAGATCTTCCTTTACCCTCCAGATAGCATTCCATTCATTTTTTTTCTTTTTTTTCCTTTCCATTCCTCCTTCATTTACTGCAACATTTACTGATCAACTAATATATTTCAGGCACATGGATAAGTAGTGAGGAGAGAAACATAGATCAGATATGGCCCCTCCTCCCCAGGATTCATAGTTTTGTACAGGACATAGTATGTCAACCTGCTCATAAATCTTGAAAGGATCATAGTTGAACATAGGTACAAAACAGAAAGAAGAAGGGGTTAATCTTGTCTTTGGAAGATGGACTCATGAAAGTCTCCACCCAAGTGGAAGGATTTAAGCTTATTCTTAAATAATGGATAAGAACTTCTCAGAAGGAAAGGAAGTAGTTGGAGGAATCACCCTGGTATGTGGGTTATAGCAGTAGTTTCTCATGACCTGAACACAGAGTGTGAGCACAGGCTGTCAGGAGATGAGGATGGAGAGTTCCTTGGGAAGTTGGTAGGGCTTTTGAATGCCTTGCCATGACTTTCGGATTTCATTCTGCAAAATGAAACGTATCAGCAAAATACCACTGAAGATCAAAGCTGGGGAATTACATGTTCCTTTCACTTTGATGACAAAGTATACAGTGGGTAGATCAGAAGGGAAGAGAGGCTTAACAGAATTATGACAAGTCATATGTTGAGTGGATGCCATAACTCAGACATGGCCCTAGATTCTGGGTATACCTTGGGAACAAAATAGCCATAACACCCACCTTGTACTAATTATGACAATAGCAATAGTATTTATTTAATGTTGATTTGGTACTATCTGGGAGCTTGACATATTTTAAGGACAGTTGACATTTAAATAATGCAGAGGTATGGACACTGGCACCCCACAGTTGAAAATCTGTGTATAACTTTTAACTGTCCAAAAATTGAGGTATTAATAGCCTACTGTTGATGAGAGGCCTGACTGATTACAGTTGATTAACACATATATTGTATATGTATTATATGCTGAATTCTTACAATAAAGCAAGCTAGTAAAAAGAAAACATTAAGAAAATCATAAAGAAGAGAGACTATACTTACCATTTATTAAGTGGAAGTAGATTGTCATAAAAGCTTTCATCTTCGTCATCTTCACATTGAGTAGGCTGAGGAGGAGGAAGAGAAGTTGGTCTTGCTGTCTCAGGGGTGGCAGAGACAGAAAGAATTCTGTGTAAGTTGGTCTGTGGGGCTCTAACCTATGTCGTTCAAGGGTCAACTGTATTTCAACTTAACAACTCTAAGATATTACTACTATCTGTGTTGTATAGGTAATGTAACTGAGGCTGAGAGATGGTATTTACGCAAAGCTGTGTGTGTAGTCAGTGATGTATCCAGTTAGGATTTGTGTCCAGGCAGTATTTCACTGTGATCTACCTTGAGGAAGTGAATAGATCATAAGATCAGCTATAACTATAGTGGAAACATAGCCAGACCAGACCAGCTATTGCAGCAGGAAGCAGGAAAAATAAAAATAAAACTATAAATACAAGAAGAATCTGTTCTAAAAGAAATGGAACCTCAAGCTATAGTGTTAAGGTCCCAAATATGGTACTCTTCATCGTTTTCTAGACAGTTCTGTCTGCCTTATACACATCAGTGGATGAAGCCAGCTATTCAACATATAGTCTAACCATAGTAGGTAGCCAGAGTTTAGAATTGGCATTTTCTGGCCATTCTCCTTTCCTTGTTACCATGACTTGTTAATAGACAGCCTACACTCTAGGACTTTACATCTTACTATTGGCTTCTGTGCATTCAGTGGCCAAATGTCCAGTAGTTCTATGCTGAGCCTCCCCCCAGATATAGTTTGAAAAATGCGAGAGATAAAAAAAAATATCCTTCAGCCTCCCACAACCATGGAACACCTAGCATGCCACTCAGCAGTTAGAGCAGAAACCTGTTGTGGTAGGCAGAATTCTAAAATAGTCCTCAAGATTGCACACTTAAAATGACCCTGATGTACACACCCTATATAATCCCTTTACTTTGAGTGTGAGTTGGATTTGTGACTATGATGGGATATCACTACCACAATTTTGGTACCCTATATGGGTGAAAAGATTTTGTAGCCATAACTAAGGTTCTAATCCGTTGACTTTGAGTTAATACAAAGGGACACAATCCCAAGTGAGCCTGACCTAATCAGCCAAGCCCTGAAAAGAGGTCAGAGAAATTTGAAGCATGGAAGAAAGACATTTCGTGCTAGCATTGAAAGAGCATCCTACCACATTTCAGACAGAACATGGCACCAAGAGCAATGTCTAGGAGATGAGAATGGTCCCTGTCCAACAGCTAGCAAGAAAACAGGGTAACTCAGTCATAAAACTACAAGGAAATGAATCCTTTCAATAAACTGTGATCTTAGAAGAGGACACAGAGGTTCAGGTATGATCACAGCCCAAGCCTACACCTTGATTTAAGCCTGAACAGAACACTCTGCTAACCCATACCCAGACTCCTTATCCACAGAAACTGTGAAATAATAAATCTGTGTTGTTCTAAGTCATTCAGTTTGTGATTATGTGCTATGTAGCAGTAGAAACTAGGAAACAATATCAGAGTTCAGACAGGTGCCACCCTGAGTTATCAAACCAGCAGGTCATGATTGACTGGCTTGTTTTGATGACCCTTCAAAAGAGTTTTAGTCTGCTCATGGCTCTGTGCGTAATAAATTTAACATAGCGTGCCCTCAGTTATCCATAAAAACTAATCTTTAATTCTTTGAGGCCACTGTGTATTATTTAATAGGTTACATTTACAGTGCATTGAGGATAATTTTTCTTTTCAGTGTGGTCCTACTAATGGCATGTCCTGTGTGTTTTACAAATATATACTTAATTAGTATTCATAATTCGATTCTAGTATAACTTGGTTACCATAGGTATTTTATATGAAATATTTCTGTTTAAAATCAAAGTTATTAACAAGTGATTCAGTTAGAATTGTTAGTAATTGAACTACAGCATATAAGCATGAATAATTGTCAAGGAGATTGTTGTACATTGCTTTTTACATTTTATGTTTCTTTGGTACAATAAAATAATAGAATAAAAAATTATTTATACTCTATTACAGTGAGGAAGTACAACATGTCAGCTGTAATGAGGAATAATTTGTTGGAGGAGACAATATTTGGAATTATATTTGGCTAAATATATATTCACAACTAAGATTTTTATTAAGCAGAGCTAAAAATCTGTTGAAATTACCCCTGGGTTTAATGATCACATAAATAATCCTGTTTCAATTATTTGCATCTTACATGGTTTCATAATAAATGAATTATGCATCAGACAACTTTGTGTCTTTTGTTACTTTTATAGTATTGATTTAGATAAAGATTAGCCCCAGGGAGTAATGGGAAAGGGCTCCATGTGGCTGCTGTTTTGCTTTTTATTAAATCTCAAACTGAAATATCTACTTTATCTAAATCAGCTTCACACTTCCGAACATTTGTATCCATCAATTCTATTTACTTCACTTAGCCTGGCTATTAAGATGGCTGCACATCAGTTCTGCCCTTCACTTAAGTGATTACATTTGGAGCTGAAAGAGGGATTCTCCAGGGACAGATCAAAGATGGGAGCTAGGTTATAAAGCAATGCAGAAAACTGTGGGATGCTTCACAGCCCTCCTCTATCTGTACTAAAGTTTGTATCTAAAGCTCACTGATGAGAGAAAGTTGTCATGAATGCAGGAAATGAATCACCTGAATAAAAACAAAAAAACATTTAAATATGGAGTAGAAACTTGTGTCTATTCCCAATCAGTTTAAAATGCCTTACTTTTATTCGAAGAAAAAACTTTATGGAGAAGTCTGAGAAACCGAAGGAACCCCCTCTATTCTTATCCCTGTCAAGTTTGTAAAATGTGTGACTCTCAGCTAGTTTTGATGAGCTGGGAGAATGTGTTCCTTACATGGGTGAGGGTGTTTGAGCAGATTAATGCAGTGTTTCTCACAGTGTGGTCCAGAGAAATCCTGCATTAGAATCATTAGAACTTTTGACAAAAATGGAGATCCAGGGTTTCTACCTAAGACCTATGAAATTAGAATCTCTGGGAAAGGTCTGAGGATTCCTTTTAGGGAGATTTGTAGTTAATGCTGATGCACATAACACTTTGAGCACCACGAGTCAATATGTATGTATAACAGCTTAGTTCTCTGTTCTCTTTCGCCAGTGCTGGCCACTCTTGCTACCAATTCCTTTCCTCCCATTTGTCTTCAGCCCTTTAAGAATGCGGTAATGTACAGCTCAAATGAGTTCTTTGAGTCACTGTCTATTGTTCCTCCATTTAACTACCTTTACCCACTGAGCAGTTTGTGTTTGCTATCCACTCTTAGGACAAGGATGGGTGGTAAAGTCTGGGTGTGGTGTTGATCCTTCATTGAGGATATTGTCTACTCATGGAACTAGACCAAACAAGACTAGACTAGTCTAGAACTAGCTAGCGTGTGATTCATGGATCATGGGGCTGATGAGACTTATGAAGCAAATATGCCCTTGAAGGTGGATTTCCTCAAGGAAATGATGATAGGACCCTTTGAAACCCCACTTGAATTTGATTAGAGTCTGTAGCCTGATATCATGCCAACACCTCACTGCATCTGTTCATCTTGTGGAATGTTTCAGAATGGAAAGTGACAAAGATGTCCTCAAATATCAATGTTCAAGATAGTTATTTTCAGGCTGTTTACGTTTATTTTTTGTTTCCAGCAAGGATACCTAGATTTCCTTTTTTTTTTTTTTTTTGAGATGGAGTCTCACTCTGATGCCAGGCTGGAGTGCAGTGGTATGATCTCGGCTCACTGCAAGCTCTGCCTCCCGGGTTCAAGCGATTCTCCTGCCTCAGCCTCCCAAGTAGCTGGGACTACAGGCACCCGCCACCACACCCAGTTAATTTTTGTATTTTTAGTAGAGATGGGTTGGCCAGGATGGTCTTGATCTCTTGACCTTGTGATCTGCCCGCCTCAGCCTCCCAAAGTGCTGGGGTGACAGGGGATTTCCACCGTTTTCAAGAACAATTTAAAAGCCAAGCCATTATAAGTTTATAATTTCTCCCTATATTACTCGTGGTGAAAATGGTGGTCAACCTCATGGGTGGGTATAAGCAATGTGTTTTCTTTAGAATTCCACCTTAATTGCAGATGCCCTAGTCCTTCTTATCCATACAATGGCTAGGAATAATAATAGTAATTGGCTCATTGAGTTTGTTATATGGACATATTAAGATAATTCAATTAGAACAGTACTTGATTTGTAGCAAGAGCTCAATAAATAACAATAATAGCTATTATTTATTGAGCATTTATACGGTGACAGTCTCTGTTCTAATTGCTTTATATGACTCATCTCAGCAGTTTGCCCAAAGTCACAAGGCTCTAAAGAAACAAAGCGAGGATTTAAACCCAAGCATACTCTTAACTTCTGCATTGTACTCCCTCTGCCATAAATGCAGCTCATTGTCTTTTCACATTATTATTGAAATACATTTCTCAGGCCAGGCACAGTGGCTCACTCCTGTAATCCCAGCACTTTGGGAGGCCGAGGTGGGCAGATCACCAGGTTAGGCGATCCAGACCATCCTGGCTAACATGGTGAAGCCCCGTCTCTATTAAAATACAAAAAAATTAGCCAATGTGGTGCACGTGCCTGTGGTCCCAGCTACTCGGGAGTCCGAGCAGGAAAATGGCATGAACCTCAGAGGCAGAGCTTGCAGCTGAAATGTGCCACTGCACTCCAGCCTGGGCAACAGAGCGAGACTCCGTCTCAAAAAAAAAAAAAAAAAAAGAAAAAGAAAAAGAAAAAAAGAAAAAAGAAAGACATTTCTCATGTAATGCCTTTGCCTTCTCCTCATTTTCTTTCAGTTCATTTTGAGGGGCCAAATTTGCTTTCTATTCACTCAGTCATAAGATTCAGCCGGGCTTCTCTTGGATCAAGTAACTGCCAAAGGAAGAGAGTAAGTTAGAGGCAGGTCACTGACGCTGATTTTGCGCACCAGAATGGGAGACGGTCTGAAAAATGAGGGGCAGAAACTTCCCAGGAACACCTGGGCAAGTGATTTGAGACAGGCTTTGACTGTTCTTTCTGGCTCTGGGTAAATTCTCTGGCAAGGCTGGGTGTGGTGGCTCATACCAGTAGTCCCAGCACTTTGGGAGGCAGAGGTGGACAGATCACATGAGGTCAGGAGTTCAAGACCAGCGTAGCCCTAGAGATAGTGAAACCCCATCTCTACCAAAATTACAAAAATTAGCTGGTTGTGGTGATGT